TGAAGTAACTTGATCTGAGAAGATCAGTCCATGACGAGGAACACCTGGTTGAAACTGAACCTGAATTAGGCAGGAATTCTGCTGGTCGCTGAAGGAAAGGTCTACAGTTTAGTAGCACCCCAGGATCTTGCTGATGCTAAGTTTTCCCACAGTAACATCAGCATGTAAAACATTTTACTGTCTCTGGCTGGACAGGAGTCTCCATTCCTTCCTGGCAGTTAATGGTCCCTGGCCTCAATTATAAACATCCTTACCTTGTTCTGCTTGGAAGAGAGCCAGACAGTACACCTGGGCACAAGGCCATGAGCTCTCTGCAAAGTCCAGCTAGTACAGAAAACTACCCCATACCTCCTCAGAAACAGGGGCAGCACTAAAAAAGAAATAAAGCTTAGCAGTTTCAAAACAGGCAATCCTACTAAACGTACAAACAAAACGGTTCTGAACTCAAGATATGGGGTTTGCGGGGGGGGGCTTGGTGGTTTTTTGTTTGTTTGTTTGTTTTGGTGGGTATTTTTTTACTTCAAGGTCTATGTAGGGCTAACCAGAGATGGGTAGATGGGTTCAACTCTGCCTGCTCTAACTCTCAATTTCTCACCTCAACCCCTAACCCAAACACTCGCTGCTCACGCTTGTTTAGGAACGAACTCCTGTAACTTACAGTCTAGGATACTAAGATAAAAAAATAAATCGGTGTCTATCATAATGCACTGTGTAGAAAATTCCAGAAAAATAGCTACGTTTCTCCTGCAAGCTGGGGTGGGAACCCTCAGAAGGGGAGAAAAGGTTGTAACACACATAATATTATATTGTCTGGCTGCTATAAGACCGAACAAAGAGTATCAAAAGAAACAAAACAAAAATTCTCAGAGGAACAGCATATAGGAAATAGAATTGCTCATTCTTTTATTCTACTTTAGCAGTATTAAAGTTTCTGTCCTAAATGATTTTATGCAAATTAAAACTATATTCAAAGACCAACTAAAATAAACATAATTTCTAAGAACATAGACAATAGGATTTAGCCCCATCAATGAATACATTACATGCATTACACAGAAGAGGGAGAAACAAAGGAATATAAGCCAATGTCACCATGCAATTTTTGCAAAACTAAGGGTTGGTCACAGAAGTTTAAAATTCTGCAGAAACTCGGGTTTTAAGAACTTTGTAATCCATGTATAAAAGAACATTAGAATAAAAGAAAATCTTTGAAAGATGAAGGACTGGCTGAATGTAAGTCTTGCCTGAAGATACCACAAAGGAGCAATACCAGAGTTTCTTCTGATAGTTTGTTCCAGTGAAAAAATCACCTTTACCAGTTAACGCCCATCTCATTTATTCTTTTACATTCTATCCTACACTGCTGAGCCCAACACACCAGTAACAAGCAAATATTCAGATGTGCCCAGAGCCCCCAGCATTCAGCATTTGTGATACCATTTTTATTATTCTTTTCCAGAGGAAAAATGTATCGGACTTTAGTAATTTTTCTTTTAATGCACAGCAGACTCCCCATTACCTGAACTAAAGGGGTTTGGGATACCCCAGTTAATCCAGACAGCATGACAGGATGCACAGAGTCAAAGAGGGCCCAGTAAAAGTCATTCGCTTTGTCCCAGTGCCAACCCAGCTGGAGCTAAGCTGCCTCGTTTTTCCAGCCATCTAAGCATGTCTGCACTGCACTCCTGAGGGCTTCAGCTTGCTTAAATCAGCCACAACATCACGACCTCTCAGGAACCAAGTCAGGTCTACTTTTGTACTCAAGTTCACAGGCTTCCTGAGACACTGGACGGGCATGATGTGGCCTTATTCAAATGGTTACACTTGGAGCTAGCCTGACAGGTCCAGCACGGAGCTAACACACCATCGAAGTGGAATCCGTGCTCAGTGAGTTTAACGTCTCCCTAAATTTCCCACATGTTCAATTCCAGACAAATACTGCAGAGACACCCAACTGGCTCTGAAGAGAGCAGGGCTGGGTCCACAAAATTTACTAACTTGTACTCCGTGCTGTGAAAAATCAGTTAATGTACTTCTGGACCACAGAGCGTTCTTGAAAAAGTGTTCCATGTTTGTGCATTGCTGTGTCCACACTGCTAAATTCAACATACCAAGTTAAAGCTGTATGGTTTTGCACCTGTGAACAGGATTAATTTGCAACCTGGATAATTCTCTCATGGATAGCAAAGTTAACTACACTTACATCTTCCCTTTATTTAGGGAAATGGACATGTAATATTCCCCTCCCGGTTCCAGCTCTGTTCTCTGGGCTGATTAAATTCTTCTCATACCAGAATGCTGACTCGGTGATTTGACATGCAAGTTACCTGATAGCTTTCCAAACATCAAAGCCATCCAAAGGCTTAGTACCATTGGTTTGTCCTCCAGCAAGGTGCACCAGCGTTGGCAGCCAGTCAGAGATATGGATGAGTTCATGGCTTTCTACACCTTTTTGTTTCAGTAAAGGACTTGCAACAAAGCCTACTCCTCTCACTCCTCCTTCCCAGAGGGTCCATTTTCTTCCTCTCAGTGGCCAGTTATTCCCACCTGCCAAAGTCTGTCCTCCATTATCTGGAAAACAAGTAATTAAAAGCAATTATTTGTAACAAAGAAAAAGAACAATCCTCCCCACAACATTTATTTATCCATTTGAAAAAATATTTCCACAATATAGGCATGTCATGCAAGTACTTGCATAGTGCTGTGAAGTGTTCATACAATATGTCACATGTTCAGAGAATGTCACAAACCTAAGTTAATCCTTGCCAGAGTCTTACCAATTACTACAATGAAAAGTTATTGCTAGGCAGAAATAATACCATACTACAAGCCAATGACTTAGAAAGACTTTGTTAAGAGCAACTTCTGACATGATTCTAAATATCATTAGACATCCAAAGCTTCCAGCATCAAGACTTCAAAAATTTAGTTCCAACTACTTTAAAGACCACAAGAAGACTTCCTATCGATGCCATCACTAGTACTCAGAATACACTGTTTTCCAAAGCAGTATGTTATACTTAAAGCAGAAACTGTTATGCCAGTGTCAGAACAACACCCATACTCCTAGTTTAGAATGATTTTTTTCCTAGATTTTGAGGCAGCCACATGGATTTGTAATGTCACACAAAACAGACAGTTTCTTAGGCTGAAAAACAAAGCCCTAACAAAATGAGTTTAAACTAGTTAAAATAGTTCAACCGATTCAGAAATATACTGAATTCATTGTGTTTGGTGAGAACAACATATAATATGAATCACACAGAATTACAGAATCATTAAGGTTGTAAAAGACCTTTAAGATCAAGTCCAACTATCAACCCAATACCACCACGCCCACTAAACCATGTCCTGAAGTGCCACGTCTACATGTTTTTTTGAACACTTCCAGAGACGGCGACTCCACCACCTCCCTGGGCAGCCTGTTCCAATGCCTGACCACCCTCTCGGTGAAGAAATTTTTCCTAATATCTAATCTAAACCTCCCCTGGCACAACATGAGCCCATCTCCTCTCGTCCTATCAGTAGTTACTTGGGAGAAGAGACCAACACCCACCTCACCACAACCCCCTTTCAGGTAGTTGCAGCGAACGATAAGGTCTCCCCTCAGCCTCCTCTTCTGCAGACTAAACAACCCCAGTTCCCTCAGCTGCTCTTCATAAGTCTTGTGCTCCAGACCCCTCATCAGCTTCAATGCCCTTGGTTATGGTTACAGAAAAGGTTGAACTGTGACTACAGTAACTCAGAAATACCTACATGAATTAGAGATAGCTCATGTAACTCTTTTTTAACTCTATTTGACCAAGCTTCCACACTTAGAATAAAACCCAGATTCCGGAAGTTAACAGAATTAATGATTCTTTGAAGTTACTTTTAGTACTGCTGTACAGTTGTTCAAACCTAGTATAATGACCTTAGAAGAGTCATTGATGGCAATTCTTTTAAGCATAATTTTTGTGCATTTTAATGAGGTTAGAATTATTTCAAATAGTAGTTGTTGAACTGACATTCACTGTAATTTGACATGTTTATGTTGTGTTTGCTGATTAAAAAATGGGAATTTGAGGGAAGAAACAAGAAGTACATGTCCAACAGCTTATGGAAGAACTTTACTGTAACCACAACAAAACAAACTGATCTCCTTCTGTTTCATTCATTGGGGATCAACGCAAACCCCAAGTGTGAACATCTTTCTACTGCACGCAGAAAACTCTTTTTGTTCTGCTAAGAAATAAACTAGTGAAAGTCTCTGTGAAGACTTTAAAAGGTGAAAGCCTAAGCTAAACGACGCACTTTTGAAAAGCATGAAGTGTTCTGTGGCGCAACTAGCTTCTAGTAGTAGGGCTGCTTGTGTGTCCAGCAGTCGTGGGTTGAAAATAAATAAATAAAAAGCTTTATTGTCTTCAGTATGAAAGGTGGGCAACCAAATACTAGCTACCAATATTCCTCACACAACAATGTTGAGCACTAAGATCTGAGAATTTAAGCAATTGCCTGTTACAAGAAAAAAAAAAAAAAAAAAATGTGTTTCGACAATTCCTTCTACTAAGTGTAAACAGGAATTCCTGTCAGGGATACTCATGGGACAGAACCTTCAGTAGCTTTTAACCTTTGGTGGCCTTAGACTAAAAGATATCTACACTGTATCAGATCACAGTTTGGACATACAGAGTTTTAGACATACGGTAGGATCAAACCTTAAGTATGTCAAATATTGTCTTCATATCACAAGCTATTTACTGTCCATATGAGTTTAATACTAGCACATGAGACTACCAGGGACGAAGTAGCAAGGCACTTATAGAAGTAGATTGTCTTTTTGAGGAATAAAGAGAGAAAAGTATGCATGTCCTGTGTTACAGTCAAATCTTTAATACCCTTATTTTTTCTTTACTCTCTGTAGTTGAGTTGAAGATATTCACATTGTGCCAGTTTCATTTTACAATAAATTCCCTGAGACAAGGAGTCTGTCTAACATATATCTGTAAAAACTCGTGTGTGATATCAGCATCCAGAGATAGTACACTACGTTAAAAAAAAAAAGAAAAAAATCTTGTTTTGCTAGCTCATCTGATAAGTAAATGAAAAAATCAACATATGAAACAAGCTTCATCCCACTCATTTTGACTTCTTATTTTGACATTGCTAGAAAATTACTGTTTCCTTCTCCCTGAAGAATTTACATATAAGAGACCCTTTCTGCTTCATTTCTTGACTGAGTTACCAAGAAAGTGCTGAAGAAGGGAAAGGGATGGTTTTTGCTTTGATTACTGAAGTTTGTTTCCTTTCTAGGTAGGCAGAACAGAGCTGATGTGTCACTGGCAGCTTATACATGAGTGATACCATTTTTCAAAGTTATAGATAATGACTTCCGTACAGTCTGAAATATTATTTAGGACTTCAAATATCAAGAATTTGTTAAAGACAAGCAAGTTACATAATAATGAAAGATCATAATGCAGTCTGTATTGATGACATACTAAGCTAACCACTAAATAACAAAAAGGGGGTGAGGTGGGAATAAACAAGAACCCACTGATTGCTTGAGGTATAGACATGGCAGAAAGAAAGGTATGAACAACCACCACAGGACTGTAACTGAAGTTTTAGTTAGTCTTACCTACGAGGACATGCCTAGAGAGCAGGAGACAAAATGGGGACCTGCTCTCTGTGTTCAGATACCTTCCCCCTGAGATACAGCTGTGGATGGATACGACTGATGCCAAAAGCTTGCACGGGTTCAGAAAGCCACTGGGGAAGTTAAAGATGAAAAAAAACCTGATAGTGGTTACACGAAAAGACATTGCCTCTGTCTCAGGAATTTCTTCGGCCACAAACTGCTGAAGATTTGAATGTTTCCACAAAATTTTTGGCGAAAGGCACAAGCGGTGGGTCCCAATACTCTTTCCTAGACACGTGCTGCCAGGCAGTGCTGCAGCGAGGGGACGCTTGGCCAGATGAATCTTTCATCTGTGGAGGTACAGCCACCCTCATATTCTCCCTTATAAACTATTCTTTAATAACTCCTCATGCTATTTTAGCGAAGTATCTCTAATATGGAACAAACTCCGAAGCCCATATGGAAACTCCTGGTACTTTAAAGCACACATTTAATATCCGCTTAGGTAAGAGACAAATAGGATCGTTGTTCCTTCATGTTCTACACTGGCTTCATATACAATTCTAAATCCACTTCAAAGCAATATTTCCGGAATGATTTATCATCCATTTTTGCAACTGTTTCTCTCCATGAGTCATCCTAATACCTAATCTCAGCAGACAGTCTCCAGAGCAAAGCTTTTGGAATCAAGGTACCTACAACAAGAGGCCCTGATTTATAACATTTCTTATTACCAAAGCTGCAGCCTTGCTACTTCAGCTGAAAACACAAGCCTCCCCCAAGCATGACACTTCAATTATCTCTTTCCTGGAGACAAACATCAAATATGATTTTCATTAAAAATAATAGTGAAATAGTCTGGAAAATGTAGTGAGCATATTTTTCCTATCTGTAAGAAACTTTTTTGTAATTACATCTATATGATTTAGACTTCAGTAGTACCCACAATGTATTATCTGCATTAGAAAAATCATAAAACAAACCAGATCTTGTCCCTAAAGAAAGGATGAAAGGGAAGAGAATAAGGCTATAGTTAGAAATTATGGTACTTGGCATAAGCGTTACCTAGCTATATATTCAGTTTTGTTTGTTTTCTTAAATGGAAGCATCATCCATTTTTAAAAAGCTTTGTGGTTTGCTTGGTTTGGCTTGCTTTGATAGGCGTTTGGTATTTTTTGATAGCTCTGATAGCTACCTTTATTTTCTCACAGTGTTTTTATCACACCCATCATGGTGTGTTACTTTAAAGGAAGGAGTACCTTTTTTTCCATTCTGACAGAATTTTCTTCTACAAGCTGAAGTTTGCGACATTGAAGAGAACATTGGGGAAAGACATTCTTGCTGAGACAAGTATGGGCTAAGACAGAGGTCATAGCATTACCATCACCAACAACAAAATGCACAGAAGACATATGCCGGGTAAAAGACAAAACAAAAGAATGAAGGAGAGAAAGGGAAGCATCCTGGCTATCTTAGACGGTAGTTTCGATCAAAGTTGTGCACCCGTGAATCAACATCAGCCTTGTTGGCTATGCAGAAATCTGTATAATGTAGTAATTGTATCATAAGCACCAACGACATGCTGCACTGATTTGGGAAGAGGTGTCATTCCGGCTATGGAAGAGAAAGCGAAAATCCTGAAGGGCAATGGAAGAACATTGGCAGCTGTAAGCACTGGGGAGGGAACCTGCAAAGGTTCTATCTGAGCGAACCACGTAGTCACAGATCAAACAGTTTCTTAAGGGCAATAAATACTTCTGAGGGTCAGGAATTGGTCAAAAGAGTCCCTAGGTACAAAACCCAGGCTCATCTCTAACATTATCATTCTCTGCCAATTTACGTGATTCATGTGATTAGCATAATTCTCTTTTAATTCTCTGTTGTCCTTCAGTATCCAAGGAGTAGGAATCTGGTAGGATCTGAACGTATCTTAAAAAAAAAAAAGTGCCAG